TCCGTCCCAAACCAGAAGGAACCAAACGCCGCCTCACCCACCTAACACCACTAGTCGAGACTGGCACAACCCCCCCCTTCTAACACCACTAGCCGAGTACGGATGCACCAGATCCCTCGAACCCAACAATAGAAAACCGATGAGAGAAGAGCATTTCGGTACCTTCGCTCCAACCGCCCAAACGCAGACGCGACAAACCGCTAGAGCTGCACCCCACCCCTTAACCCATACTCCACCCAATCGTCGCTGCAATTTCAAGAAGCCGGTGACCGGAGCACGCGGCACCACAACAGAAGGTAGGAACACCGTCCGACCCGCTGCAACCTCCATCGCGGGAACCTCGGGTGTCGCGTTGCTTCAGGGAGAGGGGCGAACGGCCGAGGACGACCATTGACCGACCGATTCCACCGAGGAAGGAGAGCGGAAATCAATACGGAGGGGAGACGATTGGCGATTTGGGGAGAAAGGATTTTTTCGCGGAGAGAGAGGTGGGGAGGTTTTTTTTTCTAATTAATTATTAGAATTCAAATTATTTGAATGTACTTGTATAAAATATGTTGTAAGTTTTATTTGTAAAATTTACATAGAAACTACATTCTTATTGTTATTTTTTTAATATTTTAATTTGAGAATAAAAATTTTTGTATATATTTTTGTTCTAATTATTTAAGATAAACAATAATAATAATAATTACAATAATAATAATAATGATAATAACAATATAACAATAAGATTTTGGCATATATATTTTTCTTATAAATTAATTTTTTTATATTTTTATTGAAATCTATATATACAATTTATTACTTTTTATATAAATTATTCATTTATGCAACTAATCCAACGGTTGAATCGGTGATATAAAGCCAACCAAAGTGTTGAATTTATGATTTTTTTTTTTTTTTTTTTTAGTAACTATTATTTTATAGGACGTGTAAATTAGTTGTATAACTAAAATGAATTTCTTACAATACAAAGGCCTATTTCCTCGATAATAGATGGCGTCAACTCCATCATAAATTAGCTAACACGAAAAACTAAATGATTTTTTAATAATTTCAAATAATAAGTTCATAAGAAATGTATAAGCAATTTTATTATTTGATAAGATAATTGATACATATACAAATTATTCAATTATACATTTTGATTTATGTTAAAATACATTTAATTACATAAAAATATAATAAATTATTTCATTTTACCAATTCAGTTGGTTTCACGACTTATCTTGGATGTGCTCGATCTTCCAACCAGTTTTTTTGAAGAGAATTAAAAATGCTTAGTAATGCACAGCTGACTCGAGTTAAGCCTATAATTATGAAATAGTTATTGTTTTTTTTTTTTTGTTTGTCTTAGAAAATTGTTGCTTCAAATGTTTCGAACCATATACATGTATATGCCCGACTCAAAGAGTACACATACATACATTTGATGGCATTTCTAAAAGTAACTTGAAAGTTTTTGGTTCAAAAGCAAGAGATTACCATAGACCTAACAATCAACCTACCATGGCCAGGGGCGAAACCATGTTGGAACTAGGGGAGGCGCCGGCCCCTCAAAAAAAAAAAATTAATTTAAACTAGGGTGGAAGATTTTGCTGGAACTCGAAGATTTTCCTTTGAGCGTGCATGTTGGGCCCTCCCCGGTTTCATGCGGTACATACATGGCCGGAGGGGCGACAACGGTTTTGTCGTGAAATTTTTTTTAAAGGCAAACTGGGCCCTCCCCGAAACGGGATCATGGTATAACAACAGCAGAATTTAATAATTTTTTCATTTTTATTATATTTTGAGTTGGTTAATTAGCCGACTTGCGGTGTACCGACGGGACTCAAAAACCGAGTCGATTATTACCGAAAAATACTTTTATGAAAGTACGGGAAGAGGAGAGTGCGTTGGTGGCATCGATTTATGATTTTGAGGTCCCGACCATTTATTTTGGGTAGCCCAAAGTTGAGAGAAAAATGGCAGTGGCGGTGATTTTATTGTCATTTTCATGTGTAGACTTCGGGTAACCGTTGGCCCTCGTTAGACGTGCTGAAAATTAGCGGGAGTGCTTTCTTGAAAGCACGAGAACAGTAGAAGCCGTTCGTAAAATTTATTTCACGTTTCGAAGTTTAGAGCATTTATTTTGAGAAGCTCGAAGTCGAGTGCGCATAATAGAAGAATAAAAAGCCGTTTTGCAGGGTTCCGTAAGGTTGCGTGTGACCTCGGTTTAACGAGAATCGAGTTGGAGTGTGTAGACAATTCCAGCACGATTCCATACGGACAAATTTTGCATTTTTCGGAGTTCCGAGCATTTATTATGGGAGTTTGAATTTCTGCGTTAAATAGTATCAAAAGAAGCAAATTTGTCGAGGACGAGTTCGATCGTTCGAGGCTTCGTTTTCTCAATTTTTTCAGCTTTTCGTCTATTTGAAAAGAGGTATAATTCTTGATTATTATTATAATTGAGTCCGAGATTTTTATTAGTATAAATTCGAGTATTTTTCGAGTTAAAACAGTTCAGTTTAAGTATACCAGTTTAATTCCAGACTTACTTTGATTTTTAGAAAAATCTCTAGAGTATTCATTTATATCATGCGAAAATTTTTTAGAGCGTTCACAAAAGCCCTTTGAGCGCCCTTCTGATGCCGGAGTGGGGGTGGTGCGCCGCGGGATGGCCGAAGTGGGGGTGGTGCGTCGCGGCAAATTGGGCCCTCCCCGGGATGACCGGCTGGTTTCGCCACTGACCATGGCAACATATACTTGTACTAAATTTTAATCTTGAAAGCAATTCCTTCATGTGGTATGAGCAAGAGATTACCATTGACCTAACTATCAACCTAACATAGCAACATAAAAGTGTACTATGTTCTAACCTTGAAAGCAATTCCTTCATATGGTATGAGCGTAACTCACAGACTGACCCTTCAAGAATGTTGTTTTCATTGAGAAAGTCTCATCATCTGTGACCTTAGGTAATTTTCTTTCCCACAGCATAAACGATATCCATCAGCCAGTCAATAGCACCAACCAACCTTAAGGGTGCTAACCTTAAGTGCGACTTGTAGCGTCGACGTTCAGCGCATCAATGTGTGCCCTCTAAAATGACATTGGAATTGACTGAAATTGCAGATGAGTCAAATTAATGGTTGTAAATCCTAGGAATCGACAAAATTCTTAGCTATTTATTTTGGATATTATATGCTTACCGGCAAAGCTCGATTAATGTGTTTCTTTTTTATCGGGACTTCAAAACGGTATTGTGCAAGCCTTGCTAAACCGCTGAGCTCAAAAATGAACACCTTGAAATGGAAGAGGCTTATGCGTTCAAAGACCAAGAAACATCAGAATGTTATCTTTTCTGATTGCACAAACTGACGTACTCCAACCATCTTCCAAGCACATGCGGTCTTGATTCATCCTCAATGCAACCGTGTAGCTGCGTCCCCCTCTTTTTTCTCTAAAATAGAAGTCTGTGGCAGCAGGTGAAGATAGTGTGCTAGCATCGCCTTCAAATAAAATTAAATAGAAACTCACAATTATCTTCCTCCATCTTCCATTGGCGCTCGAACGGAGGTTTTTGCCTTGTTCTTCTATTCGCAAAAACTATAGGTTTCGAAAATGTTAAAACAAATTTAGACTGGTTGTTAAAAAAGGGGAAAGTTGCAAATACCATTTGAAACTGTATTTATAACGTCGGTACATAGTTGTGTTTGGCCCTGCTAGTGAGAGAATGGGTCGTCGCCGGTGAAAGAGCAAGAGGAGGTGAGTTTGGCCTTCAGTGAATGGCGGTGAAAGGGTGTGTGTGGTTCGGTCGATGAACAACAATGGCGGTCAAATAATCAGGCAGTCGCCCAAGGAGCCGCCGCCGCGGCACACGGCGGGTGTGGAGGCAGAGTCGAAGGCCTTCTGGCCTCACTCGCGACTGCTGCTGGTGTACTTTTTTGTCCGGCATAGACGGGACGACAGCGAGGGTCGAAATTGCAAGGAGATGAACAACTACTAGTTTTTCCTTTATTTGATGATATCAAATAATTTTACAACCTATCTAGTCATTCAATAATACTCCCCTTAGTCCATTACACGGTGGACACATGTTAATATGTCCACCGCTTACGTGACATGCACACATTAGTGATGTTAATATGTTCAAAAACATACATCACCAATGTGTGCATGTCAATATTAACATGTGTCCACGGTGGGTAGGGTAACATTATTGTTAATCATTTACTATTTATTTGATATTGATTAACTTTTACAACCAATCTAATCATTTGCTAAATTAAAATCGTTACGCATATGTAGGATTTTTTTAATGATATGTACTAAATTGTTTATTTTTTTTTTCTTTTTTGTGCACATGTCTCTTTTTTTAAAACTAGTACGTAGCCCGTGCGATGCACGAGACTAAGATGTTAAATGAGTCATTTACATATAGTTTGTTTCTTAGGCATGAAAAAAAAAAAGATTTGAATAATATATTCTCCACCTCAGTAGAGTTAGATCATTTGTTCTCCACCTCTTCTTTTGGTCAACATTGTTCTTTAGCTAGAGCGTCAAACCTGAGTCGGTTAGCGCAAGTCTATAAATTAGTTAATATATTATCTCGATAACACGTTTCTAATAATATAAATTTGATTATATGATATATATTTATTCATTGATATAAGAAAAAATAATAATTTTATTTATTTTTTTGTTCACCACATAATATTTAGTTCTTATTTTATTATAAAATTTATTGTCATATAATTCCATTATTATTATTATTTATAAAAATTATAGAAGTAATCTTCTTTTTTTTTTATATAATAAAAATATTTAATGTACATTAATATTAATTATTAATGTAATTATATAATTATTTAAATAAATTAAAAATAAAACTAAAATTTTCTCTTCAGGAATTTTGTTAGCTTTCCCAATGAAAATCTTATTTGTAAAATCAATAATAACACATGCTAGAAATAATAGCAAGATGTTTGAAGCACAAGTAGGGTTGAAAACGGATGGAATTTTTCCCGGAATTTCCCGCCCGTTTTTCTACATTTCACCCGTCCGGTTTCGTATTTTCGGAAAAATTCGGAATCGGACAGAATACGGTAAAGGGGTTGTCGGAATACGGACGGAAGTAGAAACAGAATTTTTCCGTCCGTATTTGCGAAATCCCGTATTTTGTCGGAATAATTCCGGATTAGTACCGGATTTCACCCGGATGTCATGTCCATTAACATATTCAATTTAAAAGGCCCAAGCCCAACAGTTAATAGCCCATTAAAAATACCCTAATACCCTGTCCCTGTCCGCCTAATATTCCCCATTCCCTCCAGTCCACGCCAGCCGCCACCCCACCCTCTCGCAGTCGCGCGGTCTCGCCTCCACACCACCCGGCCACACTCCAGGCAGTCGCCGGCCGCCGCTCTAACGCCTCCACGCCGGTCCTGCTGAGTTCGGCCATGTCAAATCTTGCTCGTTCCAACTCGTTGCCGGCAGCTCGAAAAGCCGTGCCTTCTCGATGCCGCCGGACAAGCATCTCGGTTTGGGGACCATGTTGCCAGACCCGCCGGAGCCAGCACCTTCGATTAAAGACAGCAGCAGCGGATCCATTACTGGTAAGCACCGTTTTCCCCCCTCTATCTCAGAGTAATCTCAGAGTCTGTAAGTGGTAGGAACGATGACCTACAGTGTGTGTAGTGTAGATGACCTGTTCTTGCATTCTGATCTGTTAGGAATGATGACCTACATTCTGATCTACAAATTTATAAGAATTTTATTGTTGTTTTGATAGGTAAGGTGAATGTCGGTGTGTCGTCAGCATCATGTTCAGTGGCACAAAATGAAGACACAGTCCCTCCGAACCAAGAGGCAAATCATTTAAGCAATGAAGAAATAATTGCCCTTGACGATGAGGATGCTGAGGCTGAGGGAGAGGAGGTTGGTGGGACAACAGGAAAGAGGAAGAAAAGGTGCACATCTGCTGTGTGGCAATATTTTACCAAGAAGACAGTGGTAGTAGAGGTTGACGGCAAGAAGTATGAGCAACTGTGGGGCTACTGCAACTTCCCAAAGTGCAGCGCTAGGTACAGAGCCGAGTCTGTCAATGGAACAAATGCATTTCGGAGCCATTTGAGATCAACCCACAGCATTGTAAAAGGTCAGTTGCAGCTCAAGACTGAAAGGGACCGTGGAAAAGATGTAACTTTAGTGCAGGCTTTCAAGTATGACCTTGAGACTAGTATCAAAAAATTCTATTTGGCAATAATTATGCATGAATACCCGTTCAATATGGTTGAGCATGAGTACTTTGTTGATGCCCTTATGTCTTTGCGTCCAAACTTTGCCTTCAAGTCAAGAGTCACTGCTAAAAAAGATATAATGGACATGTATACAGAAGAAAAAGATAAGTTGTATGATCTCATGAAAAAAATGCCATCTCGCTTTAGTGCAACCATGGATGTATGGATATTATGTCAGAACAAAAGTTACATGTGTGTGACTTTGCATTGGATAGATGATGATTGGAAAATTCAGAAGAGGATTGTGGCTTTGTTTCATCTAGAGGGACGACACACTGGTCATAGGTTGGCACAGGCCTTTACTGAAGTATTGGTCAAATGGTTTGTTGAGAAGAAAATGTTTGCCTTGACTTTGGACAATGCATCAAATAATTTAGTAGCAGTCACAGATATTATTGAGGATTTTAAACTGAATGGAAATGGTTCTTTGGTTTGTGATGGCATATTTTTCCACATTAGATGTGCATGCCACATACTTAACTTGGTTGCTAAAGATGGGATGGCTGTTATTTCAAAACAATTAGAAAAGATTAAAGCATTGGTATTGGCTGTGAAGGGCTCTCCCTTGCAATGGGAGGAGCTTATGAAATGTGCTGCTCAGTGTGGGTTGGATACATCAAAGGGCATTAAACTTGATGTGTCAACTAGATGGAACTCAACTTATATGATGCTCCGAGATGCACTGTACTACAAGCCTGCTTTCATTAGGCTCAAGATTGCAAATCGCCGTAAGTATGAGAAAATTTCTCCCTCTGATACTGATTGGGGCATGGCTGCTACAATATTTCAATGCTTGGAAATATTTTATGATCTCACTGCACTGCTTTCTGGTACCTCATATCCCACTGCAAATCTATTCTATAGAGGCTTTTGTGAGATAAGAGAGTTACTTAGTGTATGGAAGAATCATAAGAACTTGACTATTAAGCAAATGGCTACTGCCATGAGTGAAAAGTTTGAAAAATATTGGAGTTGTTCTAGTACAAGTCTTGCTGTAGCATGCTTTTTTGATCCTATGTATAAAAAGAAGGTTATAGAGTTCTATATGATAAAGTTTGTTGGTGCCTACTATCAAGTTCAGCTTGAGGAGTTTATTGCTCTTGTGAGGAAGCTGTACCAATTTTATAGTGCTTCCAAACCTGCTTCTTCAAGTCCTAGTGTGGTTGTGGATGCCCCAGGAGAAACATTTGGTGTCAGACGAAATTCTGAACTAGAGAGCTTCTTATATGATGATTGTGGGCCTAATGGAAATGAGTTAAATGAGTTGGACATATACATGGCAGAGCCACTGTACATGTACTGACCCCATCTTTTTTTTGTCTTTTTAGGTCGTCAATGCATTCCATCCATAGTGGCTGATCTGAAACCGGATGACACCATGGAGAAGGAGCATGTCCCCCTAAATGATGATAGTGAAAGTGATCCTGATGAGATGGATGATGCTGGAGAGCTGTGATGGAGATCCCTTAAAAATACGTCATGTTTTTTAGTTGTGGTATGAACTAAGTGTGTCAACTGTCAATGAACTAAGTGTGTCAAGTGTCAACTGTCAATTCCCATGTGTTGTGGTATGTTAATTGCGGTATGAACTAAGCGTGTCAATTTCGTTTGAACCTTTGAATTTCGTTTGAACGTTTGAAATCAATTTTGTATGAACTAAGATATGTGTCATTATGATTGTGAGTTTGAAGATGGGCGTTATTCCGGCTTCAGTTTCCGGCAGTGGCAGAGCCAGGATTAAAATCTACATATGGCGAAGCAATTGGGAACTAGGTTTATTGGCCAAAAGCTGAGACATTACAAACGGAATTAGGCTCTTCCGTTTTTTTTTATACTTTTTTTTTACCAAATTGCCCTTAGAAATTTCACTGTGAACAATAGTACATGAAGTGGGGGTATTTCTGACTTTTTACCACCCTTTTCTCTCTCTACCTCATTTTCTCTCTCACTTCATTATCTCTCTCCATTTTCTCTTTCTAGCATTCAAACAATACAAAAAGCTGAATTATACAAAAAAATATCAAAAAATACAAAAAGAACTGGGGGGGTGGAGGGGGGGTGTTCGCCGGCGGCCAGGTATGGCGGCCGCCATGCCTCGCCATACTGGTGGCTCCGCCACTGGTTTCCGGTTTCCGACCGTTTCCGTTGAATTACCGTCCGTATTGGTTCGTTTCCGTGCATCCGAATATCACCCGTCCGTTTCCGATCCCGAATTTTCCGAACCTGACCCCGTTTCTGCCAACAAATGTAGAAACGGAAGTAGAAATGGGGTTTTTCCGACCGTTTCCGTTCGTTTTCAACGCTAGGTGTTTAGAGTGATCCAAAGTGGAAACAGCCGGTCGGACAACCTCGGAGACCAGATGTTGTGGTATGTCCAAGTTAGCCTTAGCCAAGTGTCCACCAAATAGAGAGGAATCAACTCTACTCTGCGAGGGACTTTTAACCCCAACAGGGCCTGTGACCATGGAACCTTTAGGAGCCCCCGAAGACTCCCCACTGTCAGCCGTGACACCGGCGCCGACACAGCCCCACTCGCAGTCGTCTTCTTCCCCTTACCCTTCCGCCATTCAGTATCAGCCCCCCTCGAGAAAGAGCCACCATTCAACCCCAAGTCTGCCACGAGTCTCCCGCCATCAGCAGTAGTCGGGTTCGGGGCCGACTCCACCGTATTATCCCTCAATACACCAAACCGAAAGCCAGAAAACCGCGGACCACCCGAACCCCGACCAGATTCTGGGGTTCCCTGCGCTCCATTCTTAGTTCGTGGTGACGCCCGCTTCGACGCCTTTGCCAATAGCCACGGCCCGTACCGACCGTCAGAATCATCACCATTGACGGGCCCGTCTGCACCACGTTGAACAACTGGAGAGGATGTGGATGGAACCACTGATTTGTCAGCCGCAACCGTACTAGGGCGCTGCGGTTGGTCCCCATCTCCGGGATTAACACCCTCCTCGTGAGACTCGGAGCGGTGGGAACATAGAGCCGAGACGTGACTGTAGAAGCCACAAGTAAAGCAAATCTCCGGAAGGAATTCGTGCTCAACCCGCTGGAACTTGCCTTGAAGGGAAAATCCCGCACAAACCGGCTTCAAAATATCTAGGAGTATAGCCAGCCGAGCATATTTGCCCCTGGACTGATTCGCTGTTTGATGATCAATCTTGAGGACTTTCCCTACAATGTCGCCAATAGTCCGAAACACCTTCTTATGGTATAGATGCACCATTATGCCCGGTAGCCGAACCCACGTGACCAGAGACTTGATTTGATTGCTCGTTGCCTCAAATTCGGCAATCCACGGTTGAACGTGGAGGTAGAACTTCTGATACTGCTTCGAAACCATCCAGGGCCCCCCCACGGGCACCCGAACCGCATTAGCCTGGGTAGTGAACCGTATCTGGAAGTAACCATTTTCCAGGTCTATCATATCACAACTGTTCATAAAGGGCCACAGGGATGTCAGCTTACTGTACAGGAGACGATGAGGTAGTACCGCCCCCATCACCTTCACCACCACCACGTTACTCCACGCCGACAATAACTTCTCATAAAACCCCTTAGAGAGGCGCACATCCGGTACCGGATCGTGGCGATCAACAAACACTTCTGTCACCGAGTCCCCCATACTCTCGTCTTCGTCATCTGGTAATAGCTCCACGTGAGACCGATGATTATCGAGAACATCCCGGAAACTGGGTTTCCCCTGCGACGCTTTTGGCAGCAGGCAATCAGAGACATCAGCCGTGGTGAGATCCTCAACCCCATCCTGCCTCCGTGTGCGCTTCAAAGAACGAGACTCCGGCGCCGACCAAGGGTTCGTCGGACGCACCACCCCTTCTACCTGCTGGTCTCTATCAGGTGGGTCAACCTTCGGATCGTCCTGCGGGCTCCGTGACATTGACCTTGCGCCGGTGAAATTAGGGCTCGCCATCATGAATTGTAGAATCAACTTTTTGGCTTTAGCTTTTTGTTTTAATTGTTGCAGAAAATCTTGTTCATTTTGTTGAGAGAAGATGACAATATGACACACGAATTAAAAAAAAAAAAACGAGAAAAGTAAACAACACAAGATTTACGTGGTTCGGCAATGTGCCTACGTCCACGGCGGCTGAGGGATCTTTATTATTCTCAATCGTATCAAATACATCAATACACCATGTATTTATACTAAAACCCTACAAGGTATAAATTTACTTAATATATGAGTCATACCAACACATTTCAACTACATCATTGCCCGCAAATCACGGCGCATGTTAGAAAACTTAGCACTAATCACTTTCTCATCAATTCATGCAGCTAATGTTGAATGAAAATGCATCATTGATGTTTATCTACGGAAGCGTTCAAAGCTCCATAATATGAGTTGCTAAACAAAACTAATCTTTGTGAGATAATTGATATGTTCATTAAAGCTCGAATTTAACTCAATTCATTTTATACAAAGTTGAGTTTTTCTTTTTTTAAGTTCGTTTAGTTAACAAGTCGAAAGCTCGATTTATTAAGTCTCGAAATCAAAAGAGAATTATGTAATTTTTTTTTCTAATTTTGCTGGTTAAGGCTCGAAATCAAAAGGAATTATGTAATCTTTCTAATTTCACTAGTTAAGAATCGAGTTCAGATCGTTAATTAATTTTAATAAATGAGTCAAGAGTTTCCCTCGATAATTAATCCCAATGCACATTGATTTTGTCTTAGCAAGTTGAAATCTTGCTAGAAATTGGTGTTTCAATAATTAAAACTCATCAATGCATCAGCCTACTCTCATTAAAATAGACCAAATACAACAAACTGGACCGATTTTTAACCGGTTCTCCTGCATAGCGGTTTGAAGGCTCAAATCGGACCAGAATGAAGGCCGGTTGCCGGTATAACCGATCGGTCCGTCCGATTTTCAATACAATGGAAAAAAAAATAAGAGGAAGAAAAAAAAATGGGCCTACTCATGACAGATGAATAAACCTCCAAAAGAACTAAACTGAAAATGGAAATGTATTCTTTTTTCAGGGGCATTTTGGTCCACCTTCCTTGGTCTTCCAATTGTTGTAGCAGGGGCAAACAGCTTTATTCCCATAATACCCCGGAGGCACGCAAAGGCACTTTCTGCAGCACTTTTGGCAAAAGAACATGCAGGGCTTGTGGTATTGGGTCCGCCCGCACCGCCTCGAACATTGCGAGGGGCATTCTTGTCATTTCCAACATCAAAACCCCGAAAAAAACAAGTCAGTAAGTTTGACCAAACGAGTCAACTATAGTCTATAATACTGATTTTCTTGATAAGGTCAACTGGTCAAACCATTTTCAATTATACCATACAAACCTATACAATCTTGACTTTTTCTTTTTTTAGATAAATCAGGTAACTCGTTTATTAATATTTACGAGCTAAATTGTTACTATAAAAAAATATAATTTTGAAATTAAAGCGTGCTCGAATTTGATTCGTTAATCTTAAAAAAAAAAAAAAAAAAAA